ACTAATAAACCCTTGGAAATTTTAAGTTCACCTGAAGCCTTTCGATAACTTCCCACAAAATTTGTTAGAAAACCAAAAACTTTTGCCAGTTTTTTCAAGCTCAGACTTTTTTTGGTACTTTGATAATAAATTTGATCACAAATGGTTTCGTATGTGAGTATTATCACAACTTGTTTAGGAGTATGATCAGACTTTGCTGTCATAAGCAGCTTTTGTTTGAGACTATGCTTGAGGTTATTGGGGACTGTACTTACCTATTTGTTTCAGTTCTGTTCTTCATCATTTATGTTAAACTAAGCTCAGAGTTTGCTTTTGATTATGATTATGATCACAATTTTCTATAGCTCTTTCCCACTTTTAGCACTCAATCTAAATTTAAATAGTATAGCCTAAGCATTATAAAATTTTGAAACAAAGCTGGGCTTTGTTTTGACGAAAACTTTGTTAGAAAGATTTTTTGTATTTTAATCAGATTTTGCTTGGGCTAGCTCCAGATTTTGTCGGAAATTTTTCAAAATTTTTTTTCAAAATGTGTTTTTGTCTATGTTCACAATTTGGCAACCATGTTCAGATTTTGTAAATTGCAAAATATTTGTCGTGAACGTCTAAGAACTCCCTGCATTGGAGTTCCATTAAAAAAAAGTTGGTTATAATTGTGTCCACAAAAGTGAAAAACTGTCAGTGTCCACAAAAGTGAAAAAAATTCGATTTTAATTAGTTAAAATGGATTATAACATTACGATTTTCGAGACAACCAATATTCAATTTTAATCAATTAAAATTGATTTTTTTTCACTTTTGTGGAGACTGACAATAAATTTCAAGTATAATAGATTTTTCTCCACTTTTTTTGAGATGCGAATTTCAACGCACAAAAAGCCTTTTCTACGTTTTAAACTAAAGTTGGTAATTTTTGATTATTTTAAAACCTTGATAATTTTGTTTCTCTTTTATGTTACTCAATAGCTGAATTTTGTTCCTAACCACAATTAACCCCCCACCCCCCACCCCCATCCCACCACATGCACCCAACCTGAACCGGATCAGAGTGTGGGGGGATTCAAGTGGATTGGGGGTTGTTGGTTTAGGTACGGGGGTCGGGTATTTCAGGGGGGGTAGTTCATGTGGGGGGTCGGGTGATTCAGCGGGGGGGGGGGGGGAGGGGTTGTTCAGATGTGGGGGTCGGGTGATTCAGGGGGGGGGGTGTTCAGGTGTGGGCGGGGGTGTCCCAGAAGGCCAGGTGGCAGGTGGGGTGCTCAGGTGGGGGGGGGGGGGGCAACGGGGTAAACGTTGGGATGGGGGTTGTGAGGGAACAAAGGGCCAAACGTTAGAAGGGAGAGGCCAACGAAACGTTTTTTCAATTTGAGTTTAGGTTTAGAAATGGAGAAGGCCGTACACTCACCTAGCAAATATTTCGCTTTACTCATTTTTTTAAATGCAGAATTTCTTGCAAAACTTTGCAAAACGCAAAACGAAAATAAAGTGGAAAAAAATCCATTTTAATGTGATTTTGTACTTGTTTTATAATCCATTATGATGGATTTCAAATGAATTCTAATGCCTTATAACTTTGCGAGAAAAATGGATTTAATCCCACTGTTTTGTCCAATTTTGTTGTCTAAGCCTAACATAGAAATCAATTATATTGACAATGTTTTAGTTCTCAAAAGTCCATAACAGTCAATTTTTTTCACTTTTCTTAGATGCGGGTCTACACTGTAGTGTCGCTGAAAACATTACTCTAAAATCTTGCTAAAATAGTAAAACAAAGAAAAAGAACTATTGAGTTAATTGGTAACGAAAGTTATCTCTTAGTTACATAATGATACGAATAAAAGAAACAAGACTGCTCGTATCAGGGCGAAGCCCTGAAAGTTCCGACTGCCTTTTAAGGTTTATGGAGCAACAGTAATAACATAAAAAAATTAAATGATAATTTTTTTCTAAAATTTGAAAGTTTTTTTAATGAAAATCATCCCCCCACACGCCATATTAAGTACAAAAAGAGGGATTTCGTTCCTTGTAACAAATCAATTATGGCAAATAAGCTTCGTTCAACTAATTTGGAACGATTTATAAGACGGATTAAATCTCCGCTTACGCGTTAATAGCGCGAATTATATCGCGAGTTAATTGTCCCAAATTGGTCAAAATGGCCAAAATGGCAATCTTTAAACCCTCATAACTTTACGAAAAATGATCACAGGTGAAATCTCCTTTCAAATTTAAGCTCAAGACAACAATACCTTTTGAATGATATAAAAAAATCCGTCAAAAATGGCTAGTTAAAAAGTCGAATTTTGTCTGAAGAAAAAAAAAAACCCACCCCGAGCACAAATATTCCGTTACTTTCGTATCGAAAGTCGGAACAAAAACCGATTGAAATCAGCAGCAGTCTTTCAAAAAGCGATAAAAGTTCAACAGAGAAAGAGAGATTGCACGCTTGTGCAATTAGTCTAGTTCGCAATCGATTATGCTGACACTGAGAAATGCGGTCTACTGCCGTATCAGATCCTCTCTAACAAACTATTTTTGTTGAACACATCAGTTTTTTATAAATTTCGGGGATATTTTTGACTAATTTGTAAAAAGAATTTTAAATCAATGTTTCGAAAAAAAATAAGACTAGTAGGCAGTGATCGAACTATAGGGTAATTGTTCCGACTTTCGATACGAAAGTAACGGAATATTTGTGCTCGGGGTGGGTTTTTTTTTTCTTCAGACAAATTTCGACTTTTTAACTAGCCATTTTTGACGGGATTTTTTAATATCATTCGAAAGATATTGTTGTCTTGAGCTCAAATTTGAAAAGATATTTCACCTGTGATCATTTTTTGTAAATTTATGGGGGTTTAAAGATTGCCATTTTGGCCAATTTGGGACAATTAACGCGCGATATATTTCGCGCTATTAACGCGTGAGCGGAGAGTTAATCCGTCTTAAAATTGTTCCAAATTGGTTGAAAGAAACTTTTTTGCCATAATTGATTTGTTACAAGGAGCGAAATCTATCCTTTTATACTTTGTATGGCGTGTGGGGGGATGATTTTCATAAAAAATTTCAAATTTTAGAAAAAAAATTTTCATTTTATTTTTTCATTCATTTAATTTTCTAAGGTTATTACTGCTCCATAAAACTTCAAAATGCAGTCGGAACATTCAGGGCTTCGACCTGATACGAGTAGTCTTGTTCATATTATAGCTCGTCCAGCAGAGCAGTAAAAAGTTTAAAGGCTCCTCCCTCGATTGACAAGTTTATTGTGATATCTAAAAAATTGTTGTGCTTTCATTCAGTAGGGTATTTTACAATGGGGTATCCATATTTTGCTTACACATCTCGGAGCGCTACTCGGGCTGAAGTTCCCGTAATAATCAGCGATGAAAGATTGCTAATCAAATCTTAATAGGATTTTTAAAATATTTCCGTGATATTTCACAGATAAATAAATTAACCATTATTTATCAACGATTTAGCGAGAATGTTTTTTTTATAAAAATCAGCGCTGGAATTGAGGATGAAAAATTGCTTATTATAGCTGCAAAATGAGACAAGACTGCTCGTATCAGGGCGAAGCCCTGAATGTTCCGACTGCCTTTTAAGGTTTATGGAACAGTAATAACATTTAAAAATTCAAGAAATAAAACAAAATAAAAAAAAAAATTCTAAAATTTGAATTTTTTTTATGAAAATCATCCCCCCACACGCCATACAAAGTACAAAAGGATAGATTTAGCTCCTTGTAACAAACCAATTATGGCACATAAGCTTCTTTTAACCAATTTGGAACGATTTCTAAGACGGATTAACTCTTGCTTACCCGTTAATAGCGCGAAATATATCGCGCGTTAATTGTCCCAAATTGGCCAAAATGGCAATCTTTAAACCCCCGTAACTTTACGAAAAATGATCACAGGTAAAATATCTTTTCAAATTTGAGCTCAGGACAACAATACCTTTCGAATGATGAAAAAAAATTCCGTCAAAAATGGCTAGTTAAAAAGTCGAAATTTGTCTGAAGAAAAAAAACCCACCCCGAGCACAAATATTCGTTACTTTTGTATCGAAAGTCGGAACAATAATTTTCAGTTGAAAAATTCAAGTAAAAAGAATCTTTGATAATAACCTTCTCTAACTATAATTTTTGCTTTTTCACAACCATGCAAATAATATTTAGAGAAGTTTGTTTTTTTTTTTGGATTTTTGAGAAAAATTTTGAGAGTTTCAAGAAAATTTATGTTGCAGTGGATAAGAAAGCAAAAAGTCAAACAACTTTTTTAGCTTCAAAATTTGCTATTGCAATAAGGAAAAATTAATTTGAAAATTCATCGCTATAACTAATCGCCATTCATCGCTAAATATTCATTGCTAAATCAGCGCTAACTTATCAGTAACATTTGCTATTACAATGAAATTTTAAATTTTCATTGATAATTTATCGCTAATTTTTTTGGGTTTTCCAGCTGTGAATCAGTGTCAAGTCAGTGCTGAAATTTGCTATTGTGTAAAAATTTAGCGCCAAATCAGCGTTGTCGAAAACTGTTTTTTCAAATTTCCAATGAGAACTCAACCGAGGTTACGAGTTATGAAGGAACACTTAATCATTCACATCCTATTTCACTGGGCCTGTTTATTTGTTTTATCTGATTTTTTACTACAATCTTTATTTCTAATTTGCTCGATTTATGCATCGACTTTTGTCGACCTATATTTCGACCTTCTCGTTGAAAATTGGGTTTGTTTCGAGCTTATGTGATCGACTTAAAGTTGCTTCTTGGCGGATTTTCATTACAAAAATTGCACCTTCTCGACTTGCAAGTCGAAACATCAGTCATAAGTCGAGCATAGGAGGGGGGGGGGGGGTTGAACCAGGGTAGAAACCATAAGTTTTTGTTCTTCTGTTTGAGATTGCTTGGGAACGTGAACCACAATTCTGAAGCGAAAACCACAAATTTTAGCATCACGCAAACACACATAGAAGCAGCCTATTCATTTTAAAAGTACTGTCAAAAGCGTTTTTATTTTGTTCAAACGCACGTGCTTCATGAGAAAAAAAAAACATGCATCTAATTCAGCATTTTAAAAACGATACATTTCTATTATCTATCATATGGAGCAGTATTAAAAACTGAACTGCCATTTAATTACATTTTGATTATTATGCAATATTCATGCAACGACATTAAAACTGTTTTCTGATATCAACTTCAGCGATAAACCCGGAACAACCATTCGAATCGAGAACAACGCTATTGCTTTGTTTCTGCTATAGCGATCGCAATTTGAAACGATATTTGCGAGAGTAGTTGCCTACGTAAGCAGATATGGGGAAGAAAAAGGGCGGGAAGAAGGGTGGTAAGAAGAGTGGGGGTAAGAAGAGTGGGAAGAAGAGCAAGGAGGGGTCGGGAGGTGCGGGGGGAGAGGGGGAGCGGGTGAATGAGGTGTCCAAGGAGATGTTTGTCATCAAGATCAGAGACCTCGAGGACAAGATACTGAGATACGAAGAAAAGTGCAAAGAACTACAGGTCAGACTTAACCTTAACATCACGCTTTTTAACACATCAAACAGCTATAAAAATTAACATGTTGAAAGGTAGGGGGGGGGGGATGTTGGTGGAAACTAAACTTTAATATAAATGATAAAGGTAAGAAGAGCAAGACTCTCGTACCAAGGCAAAGCCATGGGGGTCCATCTATCTTTTATATTTGTCTAAATACCCGGGTTGACGTCCATAGAAGAAAAATGCTTATCATACAGTTTCATTAATGAAGTCTATGGAAAAAATGCTTATCATAGAAAATTCATACAAAACTTTAAAAGTGTTTTAAAAGATTTTAGTGAACATTTTTGGTCTAATTGCCTCTTTTGAAGCTTTCTGGTCATTAAAAAATGATTTAAAATATTTTGCTATTTTCATACACTTACTTTTTCTCTATGAAACTGTATGAAAGAGTATGATAAGCATTTTTTTCATTTATGAAAATTGTATGATGAGCATTTTTTGTCAACCTGGGTATACTTGATTCTTAACACTTTTGAACACTCATGGACTGTTTTTAGAAAAATCTGTCTGGACATGAAAACAAACAACGGTACAGCTGTTTCTACCGTGTCATCATTATTTTTACGCGGTTGTGTATTAAACCAAATGTGTTTGTAAAAATGAGTAACTTACTTTGCTAATTTTTGCAAAATGTCAGATTGCGCTTTGAACTCGTGTAAATTAGGCCAAATCTCTGATAGGCGTTCGACTGTTTAACAAAAATATATAAATGGAAAAATTGGGGGTTGGATCGTTAGATCTCACCCCTTTGCCTTATATAGATAGATAATGGTAGGGCGATCAACCGTGACCTTGAGGCCTCTTGGCGGCTACTACTCGTAAACCCAACTCAGACAAATCACCAAGGAAGTTTCTCAAGGTGACCTGCCTGAGCTAGATCCGAAGAGGGAACTAATGCTCTGCGTCCTCGAGAGTAGTAACCTGAGTCAGGCTTAGCCTGGACCTGAACCAAGTACCTTAGGTCCTTTGGTATATCACCCTACCAGTTGTGCTATACGCACTGGAATGTAAAGGATAATGTCGACATTTGAACCATAAGCTGTGTCCTTTTCAGAAGATTTCCACGTGTCTAGAACAGTGGTGTATTGTGCTCTTTTCCAGTCCACCTTCAATTTTTTTTCTAAAATTCGTTTTATGAAAGTCTATTTAAAATGACGGCTCTTTTTCCTCCCCCCACCTGCAAATTTTTATATTTGAAGTTACTGTTCATTTTGTCCGATTGTCGTGAAAATTGACAAGCAGACTAATTAGGCCATAACAAGCATATTTGGTCTTCATAATTAACCTAGTAAAACCACTCGTGGCTCTTTTTCCTCCTCCCCCCCCCCCCCCACCTCACATAAGCGTCAATTTTATGATGTAACGAGGGGTTTTACAAGGTTAATTATGTAGACCAAAAATGTTTGTCATGGCCTAATCAGTTCGCATGCCAATTTTTGTAACATTCGGATAAAGTGAACAAAACTTCACTAGTAAAATTTTGCAGGTGGGGGGGGAGGGGGGAAAGGAAAAAGAGTTCCACTCGTTAGACCATAAAATTTATGTTTGAGTGAGGTGGGGGGGGGGGGAGAGCAAAAATGACTTCTCTTGATAGAAACTGCATCAAAACGTGTCAGTGTGAACAGGCGAACAAAATTTTTACAACATTTCTCACATTTCCAGTTTCCCACCCCCTCCTAAAATTACAAAATAAAGCTGTTCATAAATTGTTCACTTTGCAATTTGCATGTCCGAAATGCTGCAGAAATTTGTTCGCTTGTTCACGCTGACACGTTTTATTGGAGTTTATGACATCAAAAGTCATTTTAAATCGACTTTCAGTTAACGGATTTCAGAAAAAATCAAAGGGGAAACTGGAAAAGAGCCGTGTATTGAAAATTCGTGAATGTGTTTCCATGAATATAGCCTTTCATGTGCTTGGTTTTTTCTGGCGATTTGATTTGTGCTGATGGTATGGTTTTTTCCAGCTTACCATCCCCTCCCCCCCCCCCCCCGCCCACTTTTCATGCGTTCATTTTTCAGTTATTTTAAATGCTGTTATGACTATTGCAAAATTTGTTCGCCAACACACCTTTCAGTTTCACTTTGTGGCCCCCATGATCTTTCAGTTTTTTCTTTTTAAAATTGTTGGCTCTTTTCCTTTTCCCTCACCTGCAAATTTGTTCCGCGTAATGTTTTAATTCACGTTTTCGGATTGTTATGCATCTTGGCATACGAACTAATTAGGCCATGACAAACATATTCGGTATTCATACTCAACCTTGTAAAACTACTCGTTAAACCATGAAATCGATTTTGATTAATAAATAGCTTGTAAGAGCTGCTGTGTTGGACTTATTTTTCTCGAGCTCTTTCCTATTGCCGCCTTCATCTCTGAAAATAATTTAAAAAACTAAAATGATAGAGCGTTGCAGCGCAAATATAGAATGAAAAACAAAGACTAAAAGATTCCGACGGGCTCGGCATTAGTTTGATTCCAACGTAGATTATACCCTTTACGAATCATTTATATGCCAAATGTGGTGGAAGGTTAATTACAGAGTGTAATTTTACTTTATTAATTCAAACCGAACAGTGAACTGATTTCAATTTCAGAGCAGGCTTTGACTGGATCCAATTTTTTGTTCATCGTTCCAATGTGGCAGAGCTAACTGACTTGAAATTTATGTTTGAAATTTTAAAAAAAATGATCACGATTTTTTCGATGGATAATATCGCTGAACTGAGATGATTTTTTCTGGACTATTTTTCGAACGGAATACAGTGCGTTAATTAGACAGAATATTTGATCGGGATACCAAAACATCCGTTCCGACAGGGGCGGATCTAGGATTTTCTCGAGGGGGTGGGGGGGGGGGGGGCGGATTTTCAAAAAAATTTGAAAATTTTGACGACCTTTTTTTTTTAGGTCGACCAAATTGATTTTTGGAGCTCTCCCAAAGCACTGTTTCGCCCCTATGTTGGCAAAATTTTCGTTTTTTTTTTGGCGCGCGCTCCCCGTTCAAAGTTAGTATATATTGGCGCCAACGGCGCCTTTAGAAAAAATTTAGGGGTCGGTCGGCCAAAAATGGATTTCTGAAAAAGTATCAAAGGGGGGACCCTTTGGGTCGGCAGGGGGTCGAATCCGTGAGGGGGGGGGGGGGGGGGAGAGCGGACGCTCCCCCCTGCCCCCCCCCTAAATCCGCCCTTGCGTTCCGAAAAAAATTTCTCGACACTCCTGAAAATTTGGCTGGGGGTTTGGATTTCTACATTTTGCGATTTTATTCAAAAATTTTTCGGACAGACCCAAAAGGTTAAAAAACAGATGCTTATATTTTTTAAATTTTTTTGGCTATACTTTTATAAACAATGTTCCCCCATTTTCTTCACTGTCTTGCAAGTTGTCTCAATCAGTAAACTTTCTCCATTTTAAAATTCTAATCATTTATTTTACGGCTTAAAAGTCCTCCAACTCAAAACCAGGTACTACAAAATACAGTCGATTGATTTTTAAACACAAACCTACCACTTGGGACAAGAGTTTTTTTATTAGAAAAAACAGAAAGGAAAATAAAAAGTGACAAATTATCACAAAAATTTTAGCTCAAACATACCTTTAGTGCTCTCGCAGTGTAAATTCATGCATATTATAACGAGTTTTTTCAGTCTCAGTTTTCTGGCGTTATTGTTGTTGGAATTTAACCGATGTGCGTGATCCTCCACCTTTTGTGGAAACTTTTAAATTTAATATTGCTTTCCGGTCAAATGCTCACTTTGTTGCTCTGCTGCTATATTAAAAGGTCTCGTACGGTGTTATTAAATAGTTATACAAACGTAAGGTTAAGGAACGGTGCTTGTTCAAAAGTACAGAGAGCTTCATCAACCCGCCTCATTCGAGTTAAAGAGTGTCTTGTTGCTTAGGCCCTTTAGTAAAAATGTAACAGTTACCCAATAAGAATATTACGTTGACTTACAATAGACGGAAGGTGCTAACTTGGAGACGTCAAACTGACTTTTCTTGCAAACTGACATTGTTGTATTTTCGCTGAAATTTTTTGTACTAGTATTAAGTTTTTCTTTTCAGTTTTGTCTATAGTTTATTTAAAAATTTAAAAGTAATAATCAAAAACGAAAAATGGATGAAAAAATTAAAATCAGAATTCAAATTTTACTCAAGAAAAACTCGAAAGCGATTTGCAAAAAAATCATTCATTGGCTTAAATTCGAAACAAAATCTGAAATAAAAACCTGATACGCTGTCAATCCGAGTAAAATTGTTTTAAAAAATGCTGTTGAAGACACCAGGAACTATAAAGAGCGTGAGAATTTTGCGGAGAAAACAAATAATTTTTATAGAACAGTAGCACGGCACGTCTTAAGTTATGTTTTCAGGCTTTCACTTAATTGAGCAAAATTTAATCATTCAAATTTTTTTCAATAATGCTTATGGAGGTGACACTTTGAATTGAACGCTCAAATTAGCAAAAAAAAAAGCTAACGAAGCCAGTTCTAAAGCGTCAACAAACTCGTACTGAAGGAATGTTACAGATAACAATTGTAAAAACAATATAAGCAGTGCTTGTCACCCGCCTAAGGTTAGTAGAAAAAATGAGTCAACTAGAGCTGCTAAATCACACTCTAGGGGGAGGGTTCTTATACATGAGGGACCGAATGCTTGAAAAATTTCAACCAATCAAAATTGCTAAGCGTTCCTATTGGCTAAATGGTTTTCTCACAAAACCAAAGTCAATATTAACAGAAAATGTATTAAATCAGTGGAAAATGATCAAAAACATTATAAATTGCGGTTACAACCGTAATACTATTCAGATAAACACCAAGATTTATGAGCTCAAGTTCATAAAATTTTTCATTCTTGAAAACTCATCTGCTTATTATCTAATCGTTCAATATTAACACTAATGGCCCGAATTTGTTTTTTTTTGGAGATTTTTGCAATTTACTTTGAGATTTTGAATACTCAATTCTGTTTGGCTCAAAAAAGCTAAAATTAATTTCAAGCTTTCGGTCCCTCAAGCATGAGAGACGTCAACATACTCTAGTTGTCGAATTACTTATCTCTGAATCGTCAAGTGAGAAAAAGCATGAGGTAACTTTTTTAAGACGTCACGAGGAGCGTGAAAATCCTACTATGAAGCTATGATACTGGAAGAGTATGAAAGTTGTCTTAGGCTGGAACAAAGCCAAAAATAACTTGACCTTTTTAACTTGACGGTTTAATCAGTGAAAACGGAAATTGAAGCTAGAAAGTTAGAAGACCTTTTGACTGAGATACATGCTAAGCTTGAGAAATGAGAAAAACAACCTCAAACTATTTATTCATGCGCCTCCAAAATTTTAGTTGATCTGCTGGAAGAAAATCCGTGAGTGCACTTACCTAACGCCCAATAGTAATCAAGTTTCAAACTTTTTTGTTCCATGTAGAACCACAAATCAGTTGAAATCTGACCAGTTGAAGTTTTTTGTTGGAAAAAATAAAATGAGCTATCGCCTAAGCATGCACACAGAGCCACATATTTTTTTGTTTTTTTTTCTAATTCCTACAACCTTTTCAGATGTTTCACATCATCTGGTGCAAACCAGCAGCTGCTGGTACCGTTAAAACTTTTTTATCTTGCGTTTCAAATCAAATTCGGCTTAGATTTTCTATTGTGCCGCATACTATACTACCTAGTTTTAAGGTTTACCGTTATAGTGACACGAAATTATGGCAATCAGCAAATGCTGTGCTACTTTGTGCTATGGGAATCCATATAGGCTTTTTCTGACGTGATAAGAATGGCTGCGTGGTCAAGCACCAATTGCAATCCCTAGTGATGGGTAGTCTATTTTTTGGATTCGCATGCCTATTCCCACTTTTCTGACAATAATTACACCGAGCATCCCCGGCCCACCAAAGTGATGCTGTCTTCACTTTATCAAAATCAAGTTTGTTCTTCTGCGAATCGCTTGCAATCCGCTCGAGAATGATTTTAATAGATATTGCATAACCGTGAATATCATCATTCAGAACGAAAGTTCGCCTGTTACGACGGAAAGCTGCTATCGCTTGAATGGTTTGAGCAGTTTAAATTCACAGCGCATTCTGCAGTTCAAACTGATTATAGAAAATTGAAAAGCCAAAACAGCAATCGCTGAATTTAGTTCTAGTGGTGTCATATATAAAGATGCATTAGATACGCTTCAAAAAAATTTTGGACGGCCGTACACTATTCTTGGCTTGCACCTTGACCAGGTGAATGGTTTTCCACCTCCTAAAATTCACAATTCGTATAATTTCATTAGTTTCTCTCATTTTATTTTTGGCCTTGTCGACGTTGTTAAAATTTTTGTGATTTAAAGATGATCATCACAAAGTTTATCTGTTGAGCCAAGAAGCTAGGAAACTTCATCCTAATCTAGTTGAATACCCATCTCGGTCTATGCTTACTGCTAGACATAAATGGCAGCAAAAAAGCACTCCTCTTGGACTTCAACAATTGGCTGAAGGAAAAAACTGAAAAGCATGAATGATGAGGGTCACTCATTTCAAAAATCGAAATGAAAAGAATCCGTGAAGCTCAAAACAACAAAGTTGTTTAATGCAGATTCAATAACTAATAAAAAAAGAACTATGGTTACATAAATGTAAATATTGTTTCTAGTAACAAATATCCCACTACCGCTTTTGCAAAAGGAGTGGGGTTGAGGGAATGGTTAAAAGAATACGAAATCTCTGTGATTGTTTCAATTGGATCGAAAAAGTTGATGCGCAAAAATGTAATAATGGACCTCTAGATTGCATCATTTAAAAGAAGTTATCAATTAACCATTTGCCTAACCTCTAAATTTCCTGATGTTTTTAAATCTATCAAAGCGCGTCCTACAAAGTGAAAAAAGTGAAAACGACAAGATATGTTTATTTGCGGATTTTCTTACCGTTTTCTTACTAACCACCGCCTGTTATTTTATTTAATAAAATTTTGCACGAAATTTTTTTGAAACTTAGCATGCATAATTATAACCCAATTTCAAACAATTTTTGTTTCATCTACAATTTTGTAAAATCAATGTTTCAGCTCAAAAAAAAGTTAGGTCGGCGATGAAAGGAACGGTAAAAAAACCTACTCGTGATGCACTCGATATTACAAAACTTCGTTGATTTTTTTTTGAAATTAGTTTTTTTAGACAATTTTTTTGTGAGTAAAGCTTATAAACCGAGACCAAGCATTTTGAGCAATACCTACCAATTTAGATGAAGAAGTGCGCAGAAAAATAGCAAAATCTCGGTCAACATTTTCCAAAAAAAGAGCCTAAAAACGCTTATTTAGTTGTTTTTTTTTTTCAGAAATTTGCCTGCGGCGTGAAAATTTGCTCAAAACAGTGATTTGTGAGAGCTCGGGAAATCAATTGTCAACGTAAAAAGAAAAAAAAACGTCTGCAAAAGTTTCAAAAGTTTTCCGCCTTTCACGTTTACATCGAAAGAATATTTTGGATTGTGATGCAAAGATGGATAACACTCAAAAACTTTGTATTGAATTGATTTATCTATCATGGACCTGATATGTGGCGTTAAAATTTAGCCCATGTTTAAAATTTAAAAATTTAATTTATGATTTTTTGTTTATTAAATTCTATTGATTGGTGATAGCTTAATGTAAGCTACATAATAATTATTGGATCTTTGTTTTTTCTGCATCAATAACAGTAGCAACAACATTTTACTTTAACTCCACACACACCTGCTATTCTTTTTAATCTTATTTTGTTTTGTGAGTTAGGACTCCAGCAAAGAGATAGGGAACAACTATGACAGACTGAGTATGGAGCAGCAGCAGTTTGTGAAGGGGGTCGCCTCCACCGTGGGGGAGAAAGAGGACGAAGTGGCCGACTGCAAGGATCGAACTCTAGGCCTGCAGCAGGCTAAGGATGCGGAGAAGGTAACTGGTTCACGTCTCCGTAAAAATGAGCATCGATAACTGAAATATCGAAGAAAATTGACCATTTGCTATCATGCTGATTCGTTTTTTTATTCAAAGCAAGTTTCAACTGAAATTAGTCGAAAACAGAACGCCATCAAATTCTAAATATCACTAAGCATCTTCGCAGACTAAGTTTAAGTAAATGAAATTTGGCAACAAAAAAACAGACAGCTGTCAAGTTGCCTCAACATGAATGCCCTGTTAGATTCTATTAATTACAATGCCTATAGTTAGATAAAATTACTTAAAACACTCTGTTAGGTATTGTTAATCAGCATACTAATCAACATAGGTGTTGTGTATTAGGAACTGTACGAGGGCAAGTTGACCTCGTTGAGGGGTGAGTTCCAGCAGACGAAGGACGAGTTGACCTCCAAGAACATGCAACTGGCCAGTCAGCTGGCATCTCTGGAGGAATTCAAGGTGCAGAGGGAGGAGCTAGAACAGAAATACGCGCAGCAGGAGGATCTATACAACAAGAGGCAGGTGCCTTATTTTTATTTATACTGGATAACTCTCTAATTTTTTGATTTTTCCAATAAGTTCTTCATTTTTTCTTCTTCTAAACTTCATTGAATTTTTTCTTATTATTAAATATTTCAAGTGTTTATGATCAAATTTGATCACAATTTTGAATCAACTAAAAAAGTAGATCTTTTTCAATCACTTTGATGAGGCTTAGGGCTGCTTAAACTTGTATTTCGTGAAACTTATGTTTTTCACTACAAATTGCTTCAAAACATTTTATTTTTTCTTTAGTGAATCGCTTCATTAGTTGAATTTGTAATGAACTAAACATTTTGGTCGTTGCATTATATTTTCCCCTATCTCGGCAGTCATTTAATTTTTACAAAATGTTATTGGTCAACTCTTCAATTCAACTGAATGTACCATTTCAGGGACTCGCTTCACAAGCAACACCTGTCCAATCTGGAGGCCAAGTCACTCAAAGACAGAGACAGACTGAAGAAAGACATGATGCACAAGGTCAACATTGTCGCATCCGACTTCAGAAAGGTACCTGAATGTTTATTGAAATTTTACACCAACTTTTGCTTATCATCAAAATTAGTGTGGCCAAGAAAAGGAAGAAACTTTAAGGTCAAAGATCGAAATTCCCGGAAATTATATTATTCAATCAGAATTCAGTATTCAGTTATTCGAATAATTAAGCGGGTCTCGAACCACCAATCCTTGGATTTAGAGACAGGCAACACCAGTCACACGTATTGCTGATATTTCGAACCGTGTGCTGTTTCAGGTGTCGAACAAGATGATGGCGGAGACAACTAAGAGGACAATTCGTGAGAACGTGTCCATCAACTCCCAGATCCAGAAGATGTCGGACAAGAGCGAGGAATTGGACTACGAGAATGGGGAATTGAGGGAACAGGAGTTGCGGACACTGCAGAACATAAAACAACTACAGATCAAAGAGAAACAACTAGGTAAGCATCATTTATAGCAAGTCATGAAATAAACTATAGCAAATAGTCGGGCAATTTGGATTTGAGTAGCAAATTTGAACTCAATTTCAAATAAAAACAAGACTGCTTGGATCAGGGCGAGGCCCTGAATTTTTTGTCTGCCTTTTAGGGTCTATGGTGCAGTAATAACATGAAAAATTAAATGTAAAAAATATATGAAATGTATACTTTTTTTCATTTGAGATTTTTGCGAAAATCATCCCCCCATACGCCATATAAAGTACGAAGTGATAGATTTCGCTCCTAGTAACAAAAAAAATTATGGCAAATAAGCTTTCTTCAACCAATTTGGAACGAATTCTAAAATCTCAGACTACGCGTTAAAAGCGCGAAATATATCGCGCGTTAATGTCCCAAATTGGCCAAAATGGCTGTTTTTAAACCACTATAACTTTACAAAAACAATCACAGGTGAAATGTTTTTTCAATTTTAAGCTCAAGACAAAAATACCTTTTGAGTGTAATTGTGATAACGGATAAAACCTCTTGTGATAACGGATAAAACCTCTGGTGTTTTATAATGAAAACAGTAGTGGTTTCTAAGAGTTAATTTAATGTTGAAACCGTATTGTTTCATCAGCCTAATATCTGTGGCTAACTGTACGCCGAGCTACAGTTGAGAGAGTGAATCTCTTCAATGACAATAAAGGTGACGCATTATTGACCTTGATATAAATAATAACATAATATAATTTATGGATAACAATATGAACAATTAGGCCAAGGCCATAATATGGTTACTGCAAATGCAGGAGCAGTTGCGGTACCACATACCCCGCATGACCAAGAAAATTTTATTCAAATTTATATCAAATTTTAATAATAATGCTTAGGAGTTTTAATACTCAATTTAAGAAGTTTTTTCTTTTGGCTTTGCTTTTTAATTTGTCTCTTGTGCATTCGCGACTTGGTTTCATCACTTTCCTTCTTTTTCCTGGTGCCCTTCCTCAAATTGTAGTAGAACCCGCCACTCAGCATTCCAAGAACGGTTAATATCAAGCGCCTCGCTGCCGAATTTTCTTCTAAAGAGATGTTTCTCCAGTAGACCAAATTTCGTTTCCACCGAATGCGTCGAATCGTGTTTAAAAGTTGCTAGTTTGATCCTGTATGCCTCTAATGCGGCCTGATTCAAATCCAAGAGATCATTATGTTATGATATCGACTTTACAGAGTGTTTGATTGTATCACCGTATCTACTTGGTCCTTTTTTCGACCTCCCGCTTTTGCGTACAGACGTTTCTTCCTCTTCTGATTCGTCTGAAAACCCTGGGGGTTATTAGAATCTTCATCCTCTCATGCATTTTCTTTAGAATGTAATATATCTGCGGCCGTACGCTGTACTCCTCTCTCAAGTACCTGATCAGCCAATCGATTCCAATCTGCTGCCGTTAAATCTTTACTGTTGAAAATGTCCAGAATGATTTCTGGAGATGTATTGCGAGATATTTCTTTCGTTTTACCGGTTGTAGTGCTGTGAGGTGTAGAAGTCGATTTTGGGACAATCGCTGAGTTTGACGAACACGCTTGAGGTTCTTGTCCTTCGTCTGCCGCGGCAGCGCACTTATTCTTACGATTGACCTATTTCGAATCTTTTGTGCCTCCGCCCCCTTTTATTTTAGACGGTTTGGTCAAGGGTCCGGCCATGTTACGTTTAGCCCTTTTCACCGCTAGATTTAGACCACCACCTTGCAAGATATCTTTTGATGTGACCACTGTGGGACTGTCCTGGAATTTTCTCTGTGCCTCTACTGGATCCAAAGTTCGCTGCTCTAGCAGTAAATATTCGTCAGACCCACTATCCTCAGCTTCTTCTTGTTCCTCAGATTGCCGTTGTGATTGTTTTTGCTGTTTGTTCTTAGGTTCTTCTCCTGTTGGGGAACGACGATGGTTCACTTTGTCCTGTACGACAGCCTTAGCTTTAGCAATGTCACTCTTTCTATAAATGGCCCCCGCTGCTGTCTTGACAGTAGAGGGCGTTTCTGCAACGACTTTTCCTTTGAACGGCTTTGTGAGGGCCTTTCCACTTCTCCTCCCCTCATCTTTCCTGATCAGTATGGGTGACCATTGACGCTGACTGACGATATCTTCTGGTTTATCGTCGATAAAGCCACGCTCCCACGAATACAACATTTCTTTACGTAATTCGGGGTTAATCGTACTCGTCTCCTCCACAGTACGCCTTAGGTCATTTGCAGATGTGTCAAGTCTGGTTTGGTTCCACCTGGCATTAGCTTCCAAGAGTTCCTTTAATGCCCGCGCTCTCGCACGATCCTGTGCTGAGTCAACTTGCTGTTTAAATAATGGGCTCACATCTCGGCTGTTTTGTCCTTTTCTGACAATTTTTAGGCTATCGCGAGACTGGTCAATGCGCCTTTTGAGTTGTGAGGCAGTGAGCGCAGAACTTTCCAGGTGTTCTTTATCTAAACGATCAGAATTTCGTAAAACATTGTCACTCAGAATTTTATAATCAGTTTTTGGCAATCGACCAAAATTGGCTTCGAATGGCAACATTTGTATTGTTTTTTGTTTACTCCATCGGAGATCAAGAAGTATTGTACTAAGACATAATTTATTGATGTTACATTTTGTTTGTCCACCTGTCACGTCTGGTTTGGTTCCACCTGGCATTAGCTTCCAAGATTTCCTTTAAAGCCCGCGCTCTCGCACGATCCCGTGCTGAGTCAACTTGCTGTTTAAATAATGGGCTCACATCTCGGCTGTTTTGTCCTTTTCTGACAATTTTTAGGCTATCGCGAGACTGGTCAATGCGCCTTTTGAGTTGTGAGGCAGTGAGCGCAGAACGTTCCAGGTGTTCTTTATCTAAACGATCAGAATTTCGTAAAAATTTGTCACTCAGAATTTTAATTTCAGTTTTTGGCAATCGACCAAAATGGGCTTCGAATGGCGACATTTGTATTGTTTTTTGTTTACTCCATCGGCGATCACGAAGTATTGTACTAAGACATAGTTTTATTGATGTTACATTTTCATCTAGTAACATAACTCCCAATCTTCTTTTGATGTTTTGTATAGTACATTCCACTAAACCGCATCCGCGATGATCCCCGACCGGACAGAATTTTTGTTCAATGTTATTGTCAGAACAATATTTTCGCATAGTTTTACCTTTAAAACCAGAAAATTGGTCGGTTCTTATTGATTCGGGTATTCCGTGAATGTCAATGTAGGAACGAAGAAATTTTGTCGACGATTTTCCCCCTGTTGATTTAGTGATCTTTACCGACGGAAACTTAGAATACCTATCTATTGCTACCAGCAAATATATTTTTTTCCTTTATATTCTTCGAGTGGACCAGCATAATCTAACTGAAATTCTTGACCCGGCTGCGATAGCAGCGGAAAAGGTTTACTAGCATTTTTCGGTATGATGTACTTAGCATTCTTACCGTAGCGGGTGCAGCTTCTGCATTCCTCCGCCAGATTGACTATATCTTTGTGCATGTGCGGCCAACACAGGTATTTCGAAACATCTAGCATCGCTTCATGACCTGGATGACCGCGATAAATTCTCTTCAGCACTGCTTGCCGCAATTGCCCCGGAACAGCCAGCTTGTTGTCCACTAATATACAATCATCCACCACGGAGAGTTGGTGCCAGAGAGGATTGGTATACGGACCCATCAACTCGAAACTATGACGATCGTTTCTTTCAATTACTCGCCGGAGTCTATGCATCCCAGCATCCTCGGAGATCAACTCTGCTAACAGGCTTCTGTCGAACAATTTGGTAAGGTTGTCGAGACTATTTTCTCTACTCGTCTCCACTTGGCAAGGGTCGTCTTTCCTGGATTTGTGAGTTATCGTTTCCTTTTTAATAACACTGTCCTCTGGGCTCTCGGACGGACTTTCAGCCGTAAGATCCACTTCTATTATCGGTGGTTTTTCTTTTTGGACATTTTTCTCCCAGTCCTGTTCTCGTCTGTTTCTATCTTCCAATACTGTCCGTGCTTCGAGTTCGAGTAAGTTTTTCGGGTTATTAGATTTTTCTGCCCCCATGAGGTCCCAAAATGAGATTAGGTTTGTCTCTGCTGAGTTGGCAGATGTGATCTCTTTATGTCCTTTGGGTTTGATTGACCTCTTTAATATTCGCCACTGGACTTGGGGTAAATCTGAATCGGAAGTGTCCGAGTCCTGTCTGCTGCACGCTCCTCTTTTCACCATACGTGTCCGGGAAAAAGTAGTTTCCGTCACCTGCTCTGTCAACTCGTCCCTTCGTTCTTCATTTTGTCTGGTCGTTATCTTCTTCGATTTTCCTGACCCCGATTGGTTTTTTTCCATCCTTCTACTGATCGCCGATTGGTTTGAAATTTTATTGCAATCTTTTTTGTTTGAATTTTTATCCGACTGTTTAATACGAGAGATCTTGTTTAATGTGTTTTTCTCATTCTGTTCACTTTGAAAACGTGAGCTTTGACCGTTTTCGTTCCGGTCGAGCTTTGTCCAGTTTTGAACAAACCGGTCATCACAGCAACCGTGTGATGAGTTGTCTTTAGAGTGGTTAATTTTGCTTCTTATTCCAGAATCAGAATATTCTAGAATGTTAACGTCAATCTTTTGATCCGTTTCAATAAACCGACTGCTCAAACAGTCGAGCGCTTTGTGAAAATTTTCAATTGAAGTCACTACAAATCTCTCATCTAATTCAGATTCAGGCCATGGATCTCTATTGGGCTCTCTCGAGAGATAATCAACGATACCCATATCCCTTCCAAGGATATGGATAACCTTAAATTGATACGGTAGTAATCGGTCCACCCACCTAGTTAGTCGAGATTGATACGTTTTATTTGATCTATGCTCCCCCAAAGCAGACGTTAAAGCTTTGTGATCTGTTGCTATGACAAATTCTTTTCCCAATAAATAATGTTTGAAGCGGTCTACAGCCCAAACTACTGCTAGCAGCTCGAGTTCATGAGTAGAATATTTTTTTTCTTGGGAATTTAGATACCGAGATGCAAATGCAATCGGTACCCATTTGTTTTGATCAGACCATTGATCAAGAGTAGCCCCTAGGCCACTGTGACTGGCATCGCACTTTATTCGGGTCTTGGATTATAATAGTTTAACAAAGCGATATTGGCTTCTGCTTTTTTCATTCCTCAAATGCTACAGAGTGTTGATTGTCCCAATCAAATTTTTTCACTGGTAGTCGAACATTCTTCATTTCTTTTTTTTTCATTTTCTTCTTTCAACAATGGTCGGAGTTTATCAGTTAAATTAGCCGCATTTGGAATGAACTTAGATAAGTGATTAATGCTACCCATGAACGATCTAAGTTGTTTTAGTGACTTGGGAGGTTTTAGATTTGCAATGGCCTCCGTTTTCGTAATTTTTGGTATTATACCTTCTGCCGATAAATTATGGCCTAGCCAATTCACTGAGGGCTGAAAAAATTCACATTTTGAAATTTTCAATGCGAAATTTTCGTCATCCAACTTCTGCAACACATTTCGAACCAATTTCTCAGGGTCCTTAGCTTCTCCCTTGGATACAATTAAGATATCATCCAGGAAGCAAAAGGTGTTTTTGGAATGATTCAATGTTCTATCCATTGCTTTTTAGAATTCAGCAGGCATGTCCGCCAGCCCGTAAAAGCCTGTCAGAAACCTATATGTTCCCGTTGCTTGACCTCCTACGATGTTGCAATTGCATTGTTCTGTGTTCGCAGTTAGCCTTATTTGACTGTAGGCATACTTTAAATCCAACACGGTGAAATACAGTGTACCTTCTGCTGTTGCCGTGATTATTTGACTAACCCCATCTATCAGTTCATCCACGTTTGGCATCTGATATTTATTTTTATACAATTGTCTATTGATGGGTTTTGCGTCCAAGGCTAACTTAATCGATTTGTCTTTCTTAACTGTAATGACAATTGGAGCAATAAAACAATCACTTGTACATTTATCCAATTTCTGAATATTTCCTTCCGCAAGTAGTTTTTCTAGCTCTACTTGTACCTTATCCTGAATGTGTATCGGGATTCTCCTACCTTTTTCTTGGATCGGACATTAAGGATATTTAAATTTTGTGCTCACAGTATGGTTCTTTGACTCCCCTTGTCTGTCAAAAAGGTCTATAAATTGACTATAGAATTTTTGTTTCCAACTTTCTGACTGCTCGCACAGTAGCACGTCAAACCTGGATCTTCGTGTCGGAGCTGGTTTCTGAATAGTCTGAATTCCTAGTTTACCTTGAAGGTCCAGACCTAATATACACCGCATACGTCTTTCCGTGACTAACAGTATCGCTCCAAACACTTCCCAACCCGCCGAACGCAGATTCGCTTTCAATGCTCCTAATATCAAAATAGGTCGTTTATTGTAATCCACAAACTGCGCGGACAGGTTAAGCTTCTCTGCTGGAATAAATTTTGAATTCGTAGGTCCTTCCAGAATTTGTTTCGTTGTCGCCCAATTCAGAAGTGATACTGGACTACGCGTGTCTATAGTCATATTCAAAATATGACTATCAATTTTCACTAAAGCTTTCAATGCTTCAACTTGATGAGATTTTGGATTCCTTCGAATCTCAACTTACCAATAGTTTCAGACTTTGCAATCATCGTTTTCTTCTCGTCGTTTCCTTCTTCGTACACATTCGCTAACACTCGTTTGTTGATGTATTTTTCAATTTCTGCAATAGAGGTTAAATCCTCTTCTACCGCCATTATCTCAAATTCGTCACAGGAATCAAATCTTTGTATTAAATTACATTCCTCTTCCGAACTAGAATCTTCAATTGCAACTTCGTTAACTTGTTGTGATTTGCACATTTTTGCAAAATGATTGGGTTTGTTACAATTCTTACACGATTTACCCATTGCCGGGCGGTTTTTCAGATGTCCTTCTCCGAACACTCTGCCACATCGCGTGTATTGTTTTTGATCCTCCTTAGATCTTGTAGCGTTTCTGTTGTCATACTGCTTCCTTCTATTCTGATTCTGACCTTGTCGTCTAGGGTTATACCCTTTGTTTCCAATTGCCATAACCGGTTCTTGTTTTATTTTCATTTGTTAATTTGAAAATAATCCTGAGTTGTTAGTACTTGTTGAAGACTTTTGAAATGCTTGAGTAGTTTGTTTACTTTGTTCGAATTTTATTGCACGCTTTAGAACTTCTTCAGGAGAAAATGTTTCAAAAGTTAGTGTGTCTTGAAGAACAACATTCCTCATCCGGGATATAAATAGATCTCTCACCAACTCTTCTTCCAGTCCTCCCAGCTCCGCCTTTGCTGCATGTGCAGTCAATGCCGCATGAAAGGATTCGAGAGTTTCATTCGTTTCATGAGATCGTGTAAACAATTTGTATATCTCGTAAGTAATACATTTCGTTTTCTCAAATGAGATTTTTCCTAATCGCACTATTTCCCAAAAACCAAGTTTGGATATTTCTGTGTGCGGATTCTTTCGAATAAACTTTTTCTTTCGTTCCGCGCCCAACGCGAGAAATAATCGTGATGTCAAACGTTTTCCAACTTCGTGATAGAATATGTTGTGTCCTACTTTAGGTCCTCTCATAACCCGTTCTTCATTTTCTAGAACCACTCTGTCCCGTGCCAATCTGTTCCGGGCTTCTCTCTCTGCTACTGCAGGCGCATCTTCGTTTTGTACCGGTGGTTCAGGAACTGGTAGAGGTTCTTCCATAACAACTTTAGGTTCTTCTAACATTACTTCTGGATCCACATTCTCTATGACCGTAACAGCTAATAGGAATTGATCAAACCATGTTTCGAAGTTCCACGGTGGATCTGAGTCTGCAGAAGCCCAGAATACTGGGATTCCCATATCTGTCCTATTGTCTTGAGCTGTAAAACCGGATCCTGCTGGCTGCGCCATGTGATAATTGATAAAACCTCTGGTGTTTTATAATGAAAACAGTAGTGGTTTCTAAGAGTTAATTTAATGTTGAAACCGTATTGTTTCATCAGCCTAATATCTGTGGCTAACTGTACGCCGAGCTACAGTTGAGAGAGTGAATCTCTTCAATGACAATAAAGGTGACGCATTATTGACCTTGATATAAATAATAACATAATATAATTTATAGATAACAATATGAACAATTAGGCCAAGACCATAATATGGTTACTGCAAATGCAGGAGCAGTTGCGGTACCACAGTAATAAAAAAAACGTCAAAAATCGCTAGTTAAAAAGTCGAAATTTGTCTGAAGAAAAAAAACCCACCTCGAGCACAAATATTCCGTTACATTCGTATGGAAAGTCGGAACAAAAAACAAATCATACAGTGTTTTGCTACTTCTCGCAAAAATCAGTTCAAACGAAAATCGTTTCTTTTTCATTTATAAAAACCCTAAATCATAAAATAGTCTATCAAAATAAAATATCAGTTGTGAGATTTTCAGAAATATCTTAAGGCTGATGCATTGTGTTTTTCCAAGAATGCGAATTATCAGTCGATAATTTCTTTGCTAATCTTGAGTTTTTGGTGAGAAAATATACATAAACAATATTTAGTTCACAAGGGTCGCATGAAAAAAACGATTTCACGTAAATCGGAATTATCTATCAGAAAACAATTCTTAATTGTATTTATTAATTTCGCTTATCTTTAATTGTTTTAAGTTGTCAGGTAGCAGTTTGTTTGAGGATAAAAAGTTTTTTTTTATTCTGTGGCTGACCGACCTGTGCAGCCTATGTGTTTTTACTAGTAGTAAAATGAGAATTTTTGATTTTCCGAGATCTTGTACATCTCATTTGTGAAAATTGTTCTTCGTTTAAAAAACTGAGAGGAGACTTTTAAACCAACTGATCAATAGTTTCTTTATGTAATTGATCAAGAAAGATTTCGAAGATGGTTTCAGTTTTGTATTCAGGAAAAATTTGAAATAATCTTAATGCAAAATTTATCAGCTTTAATTATTTCAATTCAGCGCGTAAGAACCAGAGTCACAAGGCAATCATGGCCATGTTGAAGGAGAAGAATGAGTCACTGGGGGCGAAGTTGGAACTGTACAAGGAGAGGGAGGAGATTGTGAGGGAGACTAGGGAGGAGGTGGAGCAGATGTTGGACCAGCAGCAACACATGGGCGACGAGGCAGAGGAGTTGGAAAAAGAGGTGGGGGTGGGGGTTATTTTTTGGGAGACGCTTAAGTTAAGACGAATTTTCCATACACTTTCTTTCAATTACTAGTCGACTTTTTTGGAGATTAAATGAAGTGTTTTTGAAATCTCTCGAAACAATAAAAACAACACCCTTGTGCCCAAAATGTTGTTTTTGATGCAGATGTTTTTTGGTAGATTTCGTATAAATATTAGTTTTTTGAACCAAACTTTTTCTCTTTCAACATTTATTCAGTTGGTTTTAAATACTGTGCTGTCATTAATGAACAAAAAACATCAACCAACGAGTGGCAGAGCAGACAATTTCATTGTTTTTTTCCCGAATAGAATGCTGAGATGCAGGAAGAGTTGGTCCAACTGATAATGGAGAGAGACGAGGAGAGGAAGAAACAGAATATTCTAGAACAAATACTCTCGGAGGCCGCTTATATGCTCAAAGACAACTTGGGTTAGACATACTTTTAGGCCATGATTATGACCAATGGTTTCATAGAAAATAAATTTACGCAAAGAAATAAAAAAGCAAAGGTCAAAAAAAGGGGCTTAAGGTGCAAAAAGAAAATTTATCTCAAATTTTAAATTTCGTAGGGAAATTAAAATCAAAAGTTTCAATCAAAAGTTTAATTTATTGTTATCTGCATCATGCTTTCACTCACTCAGACTTCGAATGGCAGAGATTAATGCATATAATTTTATTAATTGCAACTTACTTAATTAATGGTATTGATTAAATTTAAAACAATCTGTCTGGCAGATGATGTTTTTGCTAAAAATTTCTCTTAAGCAATTCCTAACTTCCTTTTCAATACTCATGACCGTTCTTGCGCTTTTCATCTTTGGCTTTCTGAAAGCTTCTTTGTTTCAGTCAAGCTTTCGCTAAACGACAGCGAAGGGGCCATGGATGACTCACCTTTATTCTACCGTTTAATCGACACGCTCCTCCTAGCCGAAAATCTGGAAAATGCAGCAGAAGTTCTAGGCAATCAGAACGCGGAAGGAGAACCTAATATTCGTCGGTCAAGTAGACCTTCGACAGCTGGAGACAGGTCCTCACAGGGATTCGAACCGCCAACCAGTGCAATGTCGGAGCAGCCATATGCTAGCAAAGAATCGCACTATCGAATGGGTAGGTTTTGATAGGAACTTTAAGTTATCATTGAAAAACGTATAACTAGATTACAATTTATGTCAAACATGGCATCAATTTTAGATGTAATTTAAAAGTCTATGAAAACTTTTTGCCTTATGACCATAAATATAAACATTCATATTTCAACACCGAGTCTCGCCTAAAACACATTCAGGTAGAATACATTCAAGTCTCGCTTAAAACTTAAATCGGTCGGATCTTTATTTTTTATTTGAAAAAGGTTTTAAAGTCTATTTAAGTTGAAACATTTTCAAAGAGGGCTTGAAAGCTTGCCTTTCCAAACTAACGACTTTTTAAGACTTTCTAGCTTCTTCCGGTTATAGCCTTCTAGCTAAGAAACAAAATTTAAAGCTAAAAAGTGACAGTGTAATTTTTGTATTTAAAGGACCTATAAGTTTTTGGATAGGGCGGCTATAGGCTCACTGGGTTTTCATTTCAATCATTTTATTCATGATGCGATTTGTGTGTTGCAGGCGACATGGGGTTGGTTCCCAAAGAGGGTCACCACATCGCTACTAACCTGGAGAGATCCAGGGCCAAGATGGGGAGTGCGAAGAGTGTGCAGAGCAAACTGAACAGACGCCAGGGCATCATGATGAACTCGAAGGGAGTGCAGACAGACAACAGGAGGGAACTACTGGCTGACCAGCTGCTGAATCACATTGAACACTACTCGCCAGAAGACCTAATTAGCCAGTTTTAAATTAAAACTAAAACTCAATATATTTTTAATTAGCAGAAATAAATAGATAAATGGTTTAAAAATTTGTAGATGGATCACAGGTGTTGATGCTTGTAATTAGTGTTTGCAATCAGTAGCGGATTTAAGTGGACGCGAACTGGCGCCCAAAAGTCCCTCCTTCTCGCACCACTTTACGGCGTCCATTTTTTGCCCACCAACCTTAAAAAGTTTGTTTTGGCAAGTCGACTGCTTTTTCTCATTGAGATTTTATTAAAAAATGTAATAGAAATTAAAAATTTAAAAAATTTATTAATAAAAAAACACCTTCGACAAAAAAATTCAAACACCTTTTTAATGCCTAATACATGGTGGGATCAAACTTTCTGATTGTTATTCAATGCTTGAATATGCTTTATGATAAACCTCCTAAATTAAACTGGTCTTTCGGGTCTTTCCCCATTTATAGCCCCCCACCTAGTAACAAAAAAGTAAAACCACATAATAAAGTTAGTTTTAGATTTTATTGAGGGGGGCTACAATGGAAAATCTTTCAAATACATTCAATCTAGGCGTTCTGCAGAGCGCGAAATTTTTCACCTAATTGTTCCGACCATTTGAAAAATGGGGCGACACTTAGAATTCAGGTGTTTTAGTTTTTTGTTTTCCACGTAAAATCAGGTACATCAAATACGTATCGGAATGGTTCGAGCAAATTATCATATTAAAGCTTTTTCAATTGTGATTCTAATGAGATTTAAAAACTTTTTTCACGCTGACGAGAAAAACCAGTTTGAAGTTTTTGATTTTTGGTCTAAGTTCGAGCTAATAAAAACCTCTGAAATTTTAGCTGCATGAAAATGCTAGTTGAATTTATTTGAAACAGTGCTGCTAATTTCGTTGTGTTACCCTTAACCGGTATTCACACATTTTGCCCCTCACACGTTTCGCCCCTCTTAAATCTAGAGGCACATTTCGCCCCTCACACATTTCGCCCCTCATAAATTACTGGTACATTTCGCCCCTAAAATGTACATTAAGAAACCGACTTTAATTAACTGTGTAATAAGCTAGGGGCGAAACGTGCGAGTACGAAATGTGTGAAATTATTAGGGGCGAAATGAGTGAGGGGCGAAATGTGCCACTAGATTTAAGAGGGGCGAAAAGTGTGTGGGGCGAAACGTGGGACATTCCCCTTAACCATAGGAGTGGTTATATGTCTTGGCTTTTGCAGCAGATTTTGAACATTACCTGGCGTTGCAAACCGAGTAGGTGTTTCCGCGACCTTGGAAATCGAAGATAAGTTTTCTGCAACCGACGCGCCCGAAATAAGTGTCTACGGCCAGTGTGCGATAAGTGCTACCGAAGAAAAAATGTCCGCAGTCCTTAGCAAACATATAAGCCCCTAAGCCAATTCTTCCGCAGTTAAGATTCTGTTCGAATAATTTTTTATTCATTACTAATATAAAGCAACCAAGGAGCTATTTCTTAAGTAAATTAGAGATATCGGACCCCGCAGGATGTTAGAAAAACGAAAAATGATTCAGTTTTTTTTTTACAGTTTTTGACATATTGTATATCGCATTTTCCATAACCTCGATTTTACTCTTGGTTTTAAATTTTTTCAATTGCTTTAAAATAAATCTAAAAAAATTTTGTAAGAAGTCTGCATTGCGTTTTATAATGAAAATTTTTCAGTTTTGATTTAATATCCAAAATAAAAATATTTTAAAATTTTGAGCGTATATACTGAAAAAAGGGAGAAAATATTATGATTTCTACTGTACCGGCTCAGAGATAAATTTAATTTAGAGAGTTAAAAAACTTCCCAAAATGCCGTTGTCACAATCTTCCGACGTGCATATCTGCTTAGCGCTCAGCGCTCAAAGCGCTCAATTTTTTTTTCAAAAAACGCTGATGTTTCAAATAAATACTAGTTTGAAAAGAGCAAGCGCGCGTCGTCTTTTTTTCTAGCTAATTAGGAATTTTCCAAAATGGCTCAAAAACGGCGTTGTTTCGAATTTTTGCCAAAAATACGCAGAAAATTTTGATTTCGAAAAGAGTTTTTCAATAACTGACCGATAAAATGGAAGATTTCAAACCCGAACAAAGCATTGCGACAACCACAAAATTTTTTATGGTTTTGAGAAAAATGGTGAATTTCCAGAAATTAACATCAGATTGAGTGTCTCTCTCTCTTTATCAATTGAAGAAAACGTGAAGCGATTCTTTTAAAAAACTGGACCGATATCAGTATGGAGAATTTAAGGTTCATCTCAAAAACACAATAATTTTGAAAGCGCTTTTTTCTCAACACTGGGCTGGACAGGTAATTTTAAAACTAAAGTGTGGCCTTTTCAACCAAAGTGAAATTTCTGAGTTGGTCAAATCAATTTTTCTAGCTAAGTTTAACCACTAGGCAGACCCAATCCTTTCTATACAAATTCGTGCGACGCTGCCATTTTTTTTGCTCGGGCTCTGCCCTGAAAACTAATTTAAAAATTGTGCCAACTGGGATTGTTTTGGGCGATGAGGCTATCGAATTTCTAAGAAGCACATGAAGCACTTAACATATTGGTGAGGCCTTCACTTTGAGATCGTCAAATCTTGAATACATATTGTGTGGACGAAGTCTCACGTCACCTCTAGCTTCAAGTGTACTTCAGCCTGGCCGATTTCGGCTACAATAGGGGTACCATGTGAAAGCGCTAGACGCTCAACAAAATAACGCAGACTGGGAACGTGGGGGGATAATACAAATAGACTATCCTCCCTCAGGTCTGTTATGGCCTATTGACCGCTTCTCTGCGATTCGCAGGAACCACAAAAAATATGAAGTCACCCTTGCACACTTTCTTTAAATTATTAATTTTGCATTTTGTGACTTTTTTCTGAAATAAAAAACTATTGCGAAAAGAAATGTACGGTGAACAGGAATGACAGTGTGAAACACTCGAATCAAACACTGAATGATACTTTTATAGCTGCGAGCCCTCATCGTTCAAATTAGCACAAAATTTCAAAGTATTTAATTGTTACGAGCTCATATAAAATTGTTACGAGCTCATCGAGATGTTTAAAATTAAATGAAGGAATACACTTCAATGTTGCGAAGTGAAACTGAAGGAATTTTCAGAGGATCTCGAGAATTCTACCTTAAGATTCTATTTTTTGCTGGCTCGGAAGTTATAGTCTTGTTGTCCTTGTGTTTAGTTTACCGAGTCACTACAAAAAAAAACATAAATATAATTAAGAATAGTGTTTTGATTGATGAGAAGGTTGTTTTTTAATCAAATATAGCATCAGAAAGGCAACAAGTCCGATTTTCAGTTTGTTATTATATTCAATTAATGGATATTGATACCTTTAAATTGGTGTTTCGGCATTGTAATTTAATCATTTTTCTTATTTTTAGTCTGGCTTATTTGGGAGTGCATATTGGCATACTGGCTGGATTGTTTGGTCTGTTTTGTATTTGGATTTGCAGTGTTTTCCCTTTTTCATAAACTTCTTAGCGGTGCCAATATTAATGCCAACTTTGGGCAAAGTACCAAGTGTTTTGAGGGATCAATTCAAATAAACAAACATTTGTAGAGTTTGATCAAACGTGCAAACTTGATCCGCAATAAATAATTATTTATAAAGAACTTAACTACTTAATCTCTGTAATGCTAACTATGTTTATCCAATTGAAGAGAGAAGATCTTAGCCCGCTGTACCAAAGAAGCCCATCATCTGGTTAAAATATAACAAAATTCACCCTCCACACCTGCGCTTGATTAGAGTCCTCGTAGTGATCCTGTCAGTTTGGTCACAACAGATTATTTTCTTTTTATTGCTTCATATATTTGTTCACCTCCAAACACAGACGTCCAACAACCCGCGAGGATTTGGGCGAATCAAGTTTGACAAAACAAACCTTCAACAAATAAGTTAAACATACTCTACCCCACTTAATCAAATACTTACCAACCAACCTCCCCCCTTCTCACCCCTCCACAAATCACCGGCCGAAAACATTTGCCAAACAACAACCCCCATTAACACCAGAACTCAAAATCCCCGAGTTCTCGAACCACATGCTGGAGAACTCACTTTAGTCCAAGTAGATCAAACTTTGCCCACGGTTGAAGATCAACCAATCAGAGGACTCCTGTCAACAATCACAAACAGAGCTGCACAAATCACAGTTCAAATCTGATCCTCCTCAGTTTCGAGAAAATCAAACATTTTATCCGGTTAGCTTCCAAACTTAAACTCAGTTTCAGAAATCCTAATTTGATTATAACAAATCAAGCTCGAGGCAAAAATTACCCTCCTCTCTTTTAAGATCTGATCCTGCGGCAAAAGTTCGATAAAAATTCAAATTAACTTCGAAATGGATCTCGAATGCGAGGATGCCGAAATGTTTGATTGCTCATCTGATGAAAAAGACACTTCAATTGAAAAAATTGAATTTCCCGATGTCAAAAGTAGCAGACCAAATAAACCGGTGGTTGAGCGAGTTGCAAATTCAAACCAATCTAACCAAATAAATAAGCCAGCATCTAAACTAGCATCGGCGGCCAAACCACCCTATAGTTATATAGCACTAATTGCCATGGCTATTTTGAACTCTCCTGAACAACGTTTGACATTGAGTGGAATCTGCGACTTCATCAACAAAAGATTCAAGTACTATCGAGATCGATTCCCGTCTTGGCAGAATTCTATTCGTCACAACTTATCTTTGAATGATTGTTTTGTTAAAATTGCACGAGAACCGGAGAATCCTGGAAAAGGGAACTACTGGAGTTTGGACCCAAATAGCAAAGACATGTTTGACAACGGATCCTATCTTCGAAGGCGAAAGCGATTCAAAAGACTGAGCAAAACTTCACTGGAGTTTAATCACAGTCAACCCTTTCACAATGCCTTCCTTCATATGAACCAACTTAACCCATATAATGGGTGCAATCAAGTAGTTCTCTCAAATCAATATCTTCAGAATTTTAATCAGGGGAATGGGTTTCCGACGCCTGGTGATTTTGGATTCCAAGGAAGAGTTCCAGCATTTGACAGGAATGTGATCCCAAACTTATTCCTGAAACCGGAGTTTCAAAAAGCACCGCAGATATTTGACCGTCTCTCAACACATGACGTTTTCGATCTTCTTCCAAAAATGACGCAGCATTTCACAAACTTTTCTCCTATTTGTGATTTGAGTTCGATATTTTCTCATCAAACTGGTTGCTCTTCAGGACATCTGGAAACTTCCAAACATGGTCAACCTTCTGTTGTCTCTTCAAAAAGTTCAGCTCAAACTTCGGATCAGTCGCGACGATGCAAAACAAATGTTTTGAAGAAGGAACAAAACTCATTTTCTATAGATACATTATTAAAAAGCTGAGCCTATTTTTGTAACAGAATTGGATGTTGTGTTAGATTTTTAGTTTTTGAAGTTATGTTTATCAATTTTCATTTTTTAACTAGTTTTTTTGCTTTCTTTGTTTTTTGCTTTCTTGTTGAACCTTAAGTTAAACCTTTCTATAATCAGAGTACATAATATACAAAATGAGCAAAAACAGGCAATATATGAAGCAAGACGGCTCGTGTCAAGGCCCTGAACGTTCCGACTGCTTTTTAAGATAGACGGGGTATGGTTCGCTTTAAGAATTGATGATTTAAAAAATGAAAAACTTTTTTTTTGAGAATTTTAACCATCCCCCACACACACGCTATTTTATGTATTTTTTGCATATATTAAAGTATTGAATAGAAAAGTAGCGCATCTCAAATGGAACGATTTCCAACATCCCTTAAATCTCGGCTTATGCGTGAATAGCACGAAGTATAATGCACGTTAATTGTCTCAAACAGTCCAAATTGAAAATTTTTAAATACGCATTTTAACTACACTATACAAAAGAAAAATATAATTGTCAAAAATTGAGCTCAGAACAATAATATCTTCCGAATGATATTTTTAAAATTCTCTCAATAGTGGCTAGTTCAAAAGTCGAATTTCGTCTGGAGAAAGAACCCGAGCAGAAATTTTCCGGTGACTTTCTTTGAAAGTAGGAACAAAAACACACATTATAGAATGCTTCAACCACTGGCGTGTATTTCCGACTTTCAAATAAGTGGCGGAATGCTTGTGCTCGGGGTGGTTTTTCTCCAGAAAAACTTAGAACTTTTAAGCAGCCATTTTAAATTTTTTTTAATGTGTCGTCCAAAACGTATCGTTTTTTTACCTCAAACTTCAAATGTTTGTTGGTTTTTGCTCATTTTTTTATGAAATTATTGAATTTTGAAGGTTGCCGAAATGGTCAATTTGAGACAATTAACGGATGATATTTTTCGCGCAATTAATAAGTAAGCGGAGATTTAATCCGTTTTAGAAATTGTTCCAAATTGGTTGAATTAGGCTAATTTTTGCAATTTTTACCTAACTAAGAGCTAAATTAACCCTTTGAACTGTATACGGCGTGAAGGATTCATTTTTCCAAAAAACATCAAAAATTAATATAAAGTTCTTTTTTACATTTTTTTTTTGAAAAATTCATCAGTTTTTCGTTAAGCAAACACTGCTCCAAGAACTTAGAAGGCAATCAGAACAAGTCATTGCTGTCCGTTTTTTAAAAGACCAATGTCCGTTTTTTACGAAAAAAGCAGAAAAAAACTTTAACAAATGTATTTCTACTCCGACTTGATACGAGCAGTCTTTTTTATTTGTGAATTTCGAAAAGAAAATCTGGAAGAAAATTTTTCGTTTGAATTGGTATAAATGATCCCTTAATTTTGTTTGTTTTTGAAAAATAGAAAACTAAACCTAAATAAACGTAATATTGCTCAGATTTTTTAAAGAAAGAGGCGAAATATTTCTGCTCGGGCGGTTTTTTTTCGACAAAATCGACGTTTTAACTGGCTTTTTTGCCGGAATTTATTTATATCATCGGAAAGGTATTGATGTTTTGAACTATTTTTTTTTGCTTTAAACCAATTTGCGTAAATTTAGGGGGTTTAAAAATTGTGAATTTGACTAATTTTGGACAATTAATGCACGGTGTATTTCGTACTTTTAATGCATAAGCGGAGATTTAATCCGTCCAAGAAATCGTTCCAGATAGAATTGAGGAATGATTTTTACAAATATGATCGCTTGTGTTTGGTAAAAAAGTAAAATATAGATTTTTGAAAAACTGAATCGTTTTTTTTTTTCAACAAACACTATTCCGTGGATCTTAAAAAATGCCATAAACCTTGGGAACTTGAAGCTTTAGTCACCAAAGGTTTAACGCTCTCGCATGTAGAATGAATCAAGAAAGACCTGTCTATTGATATATTACACAAACAATGTAATGCAAGTAGTATACTTCAAAATTTTTGCAAAAACTCTTCATGCTGCTTTTATTTATTTGCAAATTTTGATTAATCACGCGTTGACTGAGGCAAACAAAAATATGCAATGCGTAATAAATAAGCTTTTTTTTGAAAAATTTATCTAGAAATACCGAAAATTGTTCCAAGTTTGAAAACAAAAAAAATAATTTGACGGCAAAATTTTTTTTGAAAAGGTTTCTTTGAGTACAAATTTCTTTTTGCACTTGAAACTATCCTAAAAATAATCGATGTTTTTTTGAAAATGCTCAATGTTTGGGGCAATCAAAAAATTTTGGAGTCAGATTTTTTCTATCTATGGAAATTGTATGACTAGCATTTTTGCCAAAAGTTATTCTTGTTTATTTATGACGATACACCGACTTTAATCACAAAACAACAAAAAAAATTCGTTTAAAATTCTTTTTAAACTATTTTAGATAACGTTAATGAAGTGTGTATGACTAGAATTTTTTCATAGACTTAGTTTCTTCTCCCTCCATGTTCAACACAATCAACACTACACCCCTACCCCTGTCCACTCTCATCAAACCCGCCCGGGGATACTTGAACGTGTGTGTGTGTGTGTGTGTGTGTGTGTGTGTACGTGTATGTGTGTGTGTGTCGGGGAGGGGGGATTGCAGCGTTGTGCGAGCGGCGATTGAGGTAAAAAAATTGCAAAAAAGTAAAAATATAAAACATAAAGCGAAATGTGCAGAATTTTGAAATTAATTACATTACAACTGAAGTAAACAGAAAATGAGATTAATTGCCAAACAATCTTAAAAATTTCACTAACAATTTTTCAGAAAAATCAAACTTAATCAATTTTTATTGATTATAATAGATTATATAGACATGGAGATCTACTCGGAATGACGTCCATAGAAGAAAAATGTTTGTTCTGCAATTTCATATATGGCGCCTATGGAAAAAATGCTTATCATACAATTTTCATACAATACTTCAAAATGGTTTTTAAAGAGTCTTGGTTCAGATACATATTCAATTCGACGCTTTTAAAGCTTTCTGGTCATCAAATAAATAATTTTATTTTTTGAATGAAAAAAAAATGTTTTTTATACAATTTTCATATATGAAAACTTCATGATTAACATTTTTTTCATAGAAAAGTAAATTTTTAGCAAATTGTTCAAAATTAGTTTTAGATGAATTCATTAGGAATTAATTTGTGTTTTTAAATTTTGAGGGCATTTTGACTGTTGATGATTTGTCGATGATTTGACAATTAGTCGAAAAAATGCTTATCATACAATTTTCATATATGAAAATTGTGTGACAAGCATTTTTCGAGATGAAACTTAAAAACTTCAGTAATCATTTGAAAGTGATCATAAGTAGGATCAAATGAGCTTTTTATAAGTTTTTGGTATATTCAAAGCTTTTTGAAATGTTGAGCATTATAAAAAAATCATTTTTTGGTCAAAAAAGTGCTTATCATATACTTTTCATATATGAAAATTGTATGATAAGCATTTTCCGAGAGAAAATCAACAAATTTCAGGAATCATTTAAGACTGATCATAAGTGGAGATTTACCAGATTATCAGATTTGGTATATTCAACGCGTTTTGAAATCTTGAGCATTGAGGAATTGAGAAATGAGGAATCTTTTGAACAAAATGAAGTGTTTTTAATTTCCTGAATTGCTGAAATCTTTCGCTGATTTTCTCTAGTAACAAGTGTTTCTGATGAAAACTTAAATTATTGCAAAATACATAACTTCAGCTAAATTTTGGTCTTTTTTAAAAAAAATGTTCTTCTGCTTTTTTTTCGAACAAATCGTGACAAAAACTGTTCCTATGTTTAAATTTTCTTTGCTTGTTATAAAATTTCATACTATGAAAAAAATGCTTATTTTGCTTTTTTCATACATACACTTTTTCTCTATGAAATTGTATGAAAGAGTATGATAAGCATTTTTTCATATATGAAAATTGTATCATAAGCATTTTTTGTCAACCCGGGTACTTAACAGTCGCCTTTTTTGCCGAATAAAAGCAAACAACAAAGCACATAATTTTTATAAAAGGCGATAGAAAATCTTTATAAAAACTTGAAATTTCAACTGATAACAAAAATGTTTATCAACCAAATGTTATATATTTTAATTGCTTGCTTCAGAAAAAACTGGAAAATTAAATCAAAAAACATTCTAAATCCTTTTTATTGCAAACTCAATTCTCTGCTCAGAAAATTAATTTAACAGGAAAGAATTTGGCCGGCAAAGCCAGTTTTTTTTTACTTCGAAGTAATTCAATCTTTGTAGTTGACATAAAAAGTTAAAAAATCACAAACAAGTGTTTTCTGTTTCAACATAACTTAAGGCCTGTCATACAATTTCATAAATAGTCTCTATAGAAGAAAAGCCCGTCATTTGATGACATAGAAGGAAATTGTAAGATTAGCATTTTCCCACGAGTTGTTTAAGTCAAATAAAAAAACGTGGCAGTTTTTGTAAAAAGGCGAGCAAATTTGGCATCAGAAAAAAATCTTTATTTTAGAGAACACAAAAATTTTTATCACACAAGTTTCATAAAATTAAAGTTCCATGTAAATCTTAGTCCAGGCTGAGTTTCTTACACAACTAATATAAAAATTACAAACCAATGTTTTTTGTTTGATTACAATTGATGTTTTGTGTTTTTTTTCGGCTGAAATGCACTGTAACAAAAAAAACAAGCCATTTTTCTCAGCCATTGATTATTTAAATCAGAAGTTTTTAAACCATAAGACTAAAAATTACGTTTTGCATAAAAGTCTGAGTGAAAATTGAAATTTTTATTTACATGGCAAATCATGATATGCAGATTATCTCTGAGGTATGTTCCACTAAAAAGCTTTTTTTTTGTCAAAAAACCTTGGTAGTTTTATTTTATGGCAATGAATTTATTGTTTATTCATTTATTGAAAAAAACTTATTGTTCAATATCAAACCTTGAAAAATCTGCTATTGCTGGTTTCTAGTAGTTTTGTGAAAAATCATATGGCAAAATCATACTGAAAAAACAAGGCTTAGC